ACGCTTCATCTAATGGCTACGACACCAAGTTCACCAAGCTACCGGGAGATGCAAGTTCGTCAAAGGCGGCCTTTGAAAATGAGTTGGAGGCGTTAGTCCGTCGAGTTCAACAACTGGAATCTCAAGCTGTCAGTCACCAGACTTCCCCCGGAACTTTCCCTGAATCCTCCCAGTCTTCCCTCAGCTCCATTGAGAGGGAAGCTGACTTCTTGTGGTCTTTTGGACTTTCTCGCTCGTCGTCCCAGCAAGTTTCTAACTTCTCTTCCACACTACAGCAGCAAAACTCCCATAGACCCCACCACCACCCAAGGCGGATAGAAGAGCCCGATGAGGATATTGAGGAGGAGGAGAGCGAAGATGATGAAGACCTAGACTCGAGGACTCGACTGGTACGCGAGGAGGATATCAGTTATCTACGGAACCATGTTCAAAAACAGGCGGAGGAAATAAGTTTCCAGAAAGACATTATCGCTCAAGTGCGTGATGAATTACAACAGCAGGAAGAGCAAACACGACGGGCTCTGACCAAGGTTGAAAACGAGGATGTGGTCCTGCTGGAGCGGGAGCTTCGCAAACACCAGCAAGCCAACGAAGCTTTCCAGAAGGCCTTGAGGGAGATCGGTGGCATCATCACTCAGGTCGCTAACGGTGACCTGTCAATGAAGGTGCAGATCCATCCCCTGGAGATGGACCCCGAAATCGCTACATTCAAACGGACGATCAACACTATGATGGACCAGTTGCAAGTGTTTGGTAGCGAAGTGTCTCGAGTCGCACGAGAGGTCGGAACGGAAGGCATCCTTGGTGGCCAAGCCCAGATCACAGGGGTCCATGGTATCTGGAAGGAGCTTACGGAAAACGTCAACATCATGGCCAAGAATCTCACGGACCAAGTGCGTGAGATCGCTGTGGTCACAACAGCTGTCGCCCATGGTGATCTGAGCCAGAAGATTGAAAGTCGGGCCCAGGGTGAAATTTTGGAACTGCAGCAGACCATCAACACCATGGTGGACCAACTTCGTACATTTGCCACAGAAGTTACACGAGTCGCACGTGATGTCGGTACTGAGGGTGTCCTCGGTGGACAGGCTCAGATTGATGGAGTAAAGGGCATGTGGAACGAACTCACGGTGAATGTCAACGCCATGGCGAACAATCTGACAACCCAAGTGCGGGATATCGCCACAGTCACGAAAGCGGTCGCCAAAGGTGATTTGACGCAGAAGGTCCAGGCCAACTGTAAAGGAGAGATTGCAGAGTTGAAGAATATCATCAATTCCATGGTGGATCAGTTGCGGCAGTTTGCACAGGAGGTCACGAAGATTGCTAAGGAGGTCGGCACGGATGGTGTGCTCGGTGGTCAAGCCACGGTTAATGATGTGGAGGGTACATGGAAGGATTTGACCGAGAATGTCAACCGAATGGCCAACAATTTGACAACACAAGTCAGAGAGATCGCTGATGTCACTACCGCCGTAGCAAAGGGTGACCTGACTAAGAAGGTTACTGCAAATGTCCAAGGTGAAATACTAGACTTGAAGAGCACGATTAATGGCATGGTGGACCGGCTTAATACCTTTGCCTTTGAGGTCAGCAAAGTCGCTCGCGAGGTCGGCACGGACGGTACTCTTGGTGGTCAAGCCAAGGTGGATAATGTGGAGGGCAAATGGAAGGACCTTACCGATAACGTCAACACTATGGCTCAGAATCTGACATCGCAGGTACGGAGTATCTCAGATGTCACTCAAGCTATTGCCAAGGGTGATCTCAGCAAGAAGATTGAAGTGCATGCTCAGGGAGAGATCTTGACGCTCAAGGTCACAATCAATCACATGGTTGACCGACTCGCTAAATTCGCGACTGAGCTGAAGAAGGTCGCCCGCGATGTCGGTGTTGACGGCAAGATGGGCGGTCAGGCCAACGTTGAAGGAATTGCTGGAACATGGAAAGAAATCACTGAAGACGTGAATATCATGGCAGAAAACCTCACGTCCCAGGTGCGAGCATTTGGCGAGATCACAGATGCTGCCACCGATGGCGATTTCACCAAGCTTATCACCGTTAATGCTTCTGGCGAGATGGACGAGTTGAAGCGAAAGATCAACAAGATGGTTTCCAACCTCCGAGACAGTATTCAGAGAAACACCGCCGCCAGGGAAGCGGCTGAGCTTGCTAATCGTACCAAGTCTGAATTCCTGGCCAATATGAGTCACGAAATCCGTACACCCATGAATGGTATCATCGGTATGACGCAGTTGACGTTAGATACGGACGACCTCAAGCCTTATACCCGCGAGATGTTAAATGTCGTGCATAATCTTGCAAACAGCTTATTAACGATCATTGATGACATACTTGACATCTCGAAAATCGAGGCAAACAGAATGGTCATCGAAAGTATCCCATTCACAGTGAGGGGAACTGTCTTCAACGCATTGAAGACACTTGCGGTGAAGGCAAATGAGAAGTTCCTTAGCCTGACCTACCAGGTCGATAATACAGTACCAGACTACGTTACTGGTGATCCTTTCCGTCTTCGTCAGATTATTCTTAACTTGGTGGGCAACGCCATCAAGTTCACGGAGCACGGAGAGGTCAAGCTCACGATCCGGAAGTCGGACCGCGAACAGTGTGCGGCGAATGAATACGCTTTTGAGTTCTCTGTATCTGACACCGGAATTGGTATTGAGGAGGACAAACTTGATCTAATATTCGATACCTTCCAGCAAGCTGATGGCTCGACAACGCGCAGGTTTGGTGGAACCGGCCTTGGTTTATCTATTTCGAAACGCTTGGTGAACCTGATGGGTGGAGATGTATGGGTTACGTCTGAGTATGGCCATGGTAGCACATTCCATTTCACGTGTGTTGTGAAACTCGCCGATCAGTCCTTGAACGTCATTGCATCTCAGCTTCTACCGTACAAGAACCACCGTGTCCTCTTTATTGACAAAGGGGAGAATGGTACACAGGCGGACAATGTCATGAAGATGCTCAAGCAAATGGATCTGGAGCCATTGGTCGTCCGTAACGAGGATCATGTTCCGCCTCCAGAGATCCAAGATCCATCTGGCAAGGAGTCTGGCCACGCTTACGACGTTATCATTGTGGACTCCGTTGCCACGGCACGGTTGCTCCGGACGTTCGATGACTTCAAATACGTACCTATTGTCCTGGTCTGCCCGTTGGTGTGCGTAAGTTTGAAATCTGCCCTGGACCTTGGAATCAGTTCGTACATGACCACACCATGCCAACCCATAGATCTCGGTAATGGCATGTTGCCTGCGCTTGAGGGCCGCTCTACTCCTATTACTACCGACCACTCCCGCTCGTTTGACATCCTCCTGGCAGAGGATAACGACGTCAATCAGAAACTGGCTGTTAAAATTCTAGAGAAACACAACCATAAGGTCTCCGTTGTCAGCAACGGTCTGGAGGCTGTGGAAGCCGTTAAACAACATCGGTATGATGTCATTCTGATGGACGTGCAGATGCCGGTCATGGGCGGCTTTGAAGCAACAGGGAAGATTCGTGAATACGAGAGGGAATCCGGTCTAAGTCGGACGCCGATCATCGCTCTTACTGCACACGCTATGTTGGGCGACCGAGAGAAGTGTATACAAGCTCAGATGGACGAATATCTCTCGAAGCCACTGAAGCAGAACCAAATGATGCAGACCATTCTCAAGTGTGCTACACTTGGTGGTTCGCTTTTAGAAAAGAGCAAGGAATCGCGAATCTCAAGTAGCGGCGAGATGCATCCGGTCCATCACGGCTCCGACGGCAAAGGCTCACGTCCGGGCATGGAAGGTAGATCTATCACTGCATCAAGCACCGTCAACCGAGGCAGCCTTGCAAGCCCCAGTGCCGAGAAGGCTGAGGATCTTTCCATGGAGCGGGTAAGTCGATAGAATCTTCGATTATCCCACGCCTAAGCAGATGTACTAATCTGACGAATAAACAGGCATTGCTGCGGTCCAATAGCTCGTGAAACGTTCTAGAGATCAACCTTCACTTCTTTTTCGTTTCCTTTCATATTTCAAGTGGCTTCGATGCGAACCTTATATACCCTTTTCATTTGCGCGCCTGTAAGAAATGCTTCTTGTCGTGGTTAACCTCCTCAAGGTGCCTTCGTTTCATTTTGGATTTTTCTTTTCGGGGAAACTCTTCTTGATTCTCACCTCACCTCCTCCTACCTACTACGCCTCTCGCTTATTATTCCCCCATGATCTAGTCGAACCCGCTGCTACTCTGCATATATTTTCCCTGGATCGATGTCGACTGCCTCAGCCTATGGCCATGTTTTCTCTTGTTTGACCATATCATGGTTTTTTCCCTTTTTTTTGTGATTTCGGTTGTTGCTATGCCAGCTGTTTTCTGGTGTAAGGTGTTGGGCGTATGGAACCACTGGTGGGGTTCTTCCAAATAAACCTACAGCATGAGCTAAAGACAAATACTGGGCGAGCTGAGGCAATTGTTAAGAGGGGAGCCAGTATCCCCCGCCATAACGGTTGCCAGATTCTCTTGCATATCATATCGTGCAGTTTATCTACCCGGATTTCCTTTCGATTTTGAACCTGAAGACCCTTTCTCTTTCCCCCCCCCTCTCAATCTCACACGCATACTCTTGCGTTGGGTCTTCTCTTTTTCCGTTCCTATTTGTATTGTATTTAATCTTTGTTTTCTCCTCATATTAGCAGATGAAACTTTTGGCTTGGGGTCCTGGAAGCTCTGGATCTGCAACGCTTCCTCCCTTCACATTTCCTTATCCTCCTCGTTTCGGCGTGTACAAATTGTTTTTCTGGAACGGCTATGCGATCACTGTCCTCGAAAGGAATCACACCTAAAGACCTTACGACTAAAACTACTACACACGCCTGGCGGCCTTTTCTAGTACGCTTATAGATTACCAATAGTAAAAACGAAATATCATTCAACAAACATCTACCATTCATCCACTAAGATTAAGGATATAAACGGTCGACAGTAAAAGATCTTGCGCCTGCATATCTGGTCCACCTAGATACTTCCAATAAGAAAACAATTAATTCCTCAATACAATCAATACCTTACAATTTTTCAGTCCTCATCTTCGTCCTCATCATAGTGCGGCTCAAAAGGCCTACCAGGTTTCTTGGGCTTACCCGCCTCAGGCTTAGTGAAATTCCAATGCTTTCCCTTCTTCGGATGCCAACGGGGATATGCCCTCTTTACAAGAGTAGTTTTAGGAGGGGAGTCATCGCCAGGAGGGTCATCACCGGGGGGGTCATCCTCAGGAGGAGTTTCTGTGGGAGGGACGCTTGGTACAGTCGTCGTTGGCTTCACTCCTTCCTCTGAAGACGAGGGTTGAGTCGGTATGATACTGCCAGATGGTGAAGCGGTGGGTACCGGAGGACCGGGAGGTGAACCAGTTGGGGTCTCCGTTGGTGGCTGGGTGGGGATACTGGTTGGAGGAGGGCCTGGTTTGGTGGTTGGATGCTCAGTTGTTGGAGGTTGAACGGGTGTTGATGGCGCCGGTTTAGTCTCTTCCGGGGTGCTTGTTGGAGGTTGGACTGGAGTAGTACCTGGTGGCGGCGCCGGCTTAGTTTTCCCGGAGGTGCTTGGTGGCGGGAGTGGCTTGGTTTTCCCCGGGGTTTCTGGCGGAGGAACAGGTTGGGTAGTTGGGTGTACACTGGGTGGAGGTTCGATTGGCGTGCTTGGTGCCGGTTTGGTTTCTGCTGGAGTGCTTGGGGAAGGTTTCTCGCTGGGCGGGGGTTGGACTGGAGTACCTGGTGGCGTAGGCTTAGTCTTCCCCGGGGTGCTTGACGGAGGAACTGGTAGAGTAGTTGGGTGTATACTTGGTGGAGGCTGGACTGGTGTGCCTGGTGGTACCGGTTTAGTCTCTCCTGGAGTGCTTGGTGAAGGTTTCTCGCTGGGCGGAGGCTGGACTGGAGTGCTCAGTGGTGGTGTAGGCTTAGTTCCCCCCAGGGTGCTTCCTGGAGGTACTGGTAGGGTAGTTGGGTGCACACTTGGTGGAGGTTGAACTGGTGTGCCTGGTGGGACTGGCTGGGTTGCTCCTGGGGTACTTGGTAGAGAAGGAACAGGTTCGGTAGTTGGATGCACACTGGGTGGAGGTTGCACCGGCGTGCTGATCGGTGGGACCGGCTTGGTTTTCCCCGGGGTGCTTGTAGGTGGATGAACGGGGGAGATGGTTGTAGGGAGGGAGCTGGTAGGCTGAGGCTGCACTGAGGAGGGTATGGTTGGAACATGCACAGTGGTCGATGCTGACGGACCTCCGGGTCCCACGGGGATGGTTGGGCATGGGGATTGACCTGGTTGACTGGGACCGGGCCCTGGACCTGGCCCAGGACCTTGACTTGGACCTCCCCCTGGACCTGGACTTGGCCCTGGACTTGGACCTGGTTGACCACCACTTGTTTGACTAGCTCCAGCTCCTGGTGTGCCGGGCGGCACTGGGAAAGACGGGGAAGGATGAGGTTGAGTTACACCTCCACCGCCACTAGGAGTGGTTGTCGGGACACATGCCGTTGCAGTCACAGTGACGGTCACTATGGTGGCGACAGGACATGAGGAGGATTGAGGGCATGGAGAGCATGGCCCTGCAAGTTGAGTGGTTAGCTGCTTGGGTCAAAAAGGAATGACGGAACTGGAGCAGCGGTACCTGGGCGGGATGGACTAGGGCGTGGGCTGGTGGTTACTTCTGATATTGTCGGTGTCCATCCTGAAGATATAACACCAGCCGTCACTCCATAGACCAGGCTCCAGGAGACAACAGCCAGAGTAATCAAACTCATCGCAGGAGTCATTCTTAATGTCAACCAATGTTGACAGAAGGGCGGGGACTGAAAAAGCGAATGTGCCGTAGAGATGAAGCAGTAAGGGAATCGTAACGTACAAATACTTGAGCAGTATTCCGTGCTAGATGCATTCATGATGATCGTTATATGTCATTGAACAAAATGTTGCATATGAGGCGTGTGCTCTTCCCGGAATTGAATGATCATGACACACTTATGAGCCGTCATTGTGACGGATAAACTTCTCGGGCATGCTTGAGAAGATAAAATCCAATCCAATCCCAAGCATGGAGGAGTGTAAACGGAAGACTTCTCCGGGGTCGAGAGATAGGCGTCGTGATGATTGTCTTCCATGGCTGGACGTCCCGGGACTTCTATGACCAAGATACTTCTTCTCATTTCCACAAACAATGTAATTGATGATTGCTAGACATTAACTTTTCCCGCTAATTTTGCTTGCTATGAGTTATATGTGTTTCGCGTGCCATTTCCTTCAAGGTCGTATCATTAAGTAGTCACGTCATTCTTGAATCAACCGAAATTTCACTCCTTTGGCCAATTCTCTTCAATTTTCTGATTTAGGTTCTTCATTCCGCAACTCAAATGTACCTCAGCCAAGTTGGTACTGGCTTCAGTAGAGTGCCCAGGGCTGACGCCAGCCAACGTGGATTATTTTCACAGCAGTAACACAGGCAAGGCCGACGGCATAACAACAAGTCGTGAAGACAATGAGCCCCCAGTATTCTCCATTACAGCGCGACAGGATCTCACCCGCAATCGGGATGCCAGTAAGCGTGCTACAATAAGGGTTCGTTAGCTCCTACACTCGGTATCTTCCATGCCCGGGCAAGGTACAGAGAGCCTCCTAGACTTACCCAAAGCTCACAATCGTGTATGATGTAGCATAGTATCGCCCGTAGTTCTCGATTTTGCAGAGCTGAGAAATACAAACTGGGGTGAGACTGATGTTACTGCCACTCGCAAAACCAAAGATAACGCTGTAGACAACCATTACCGGCACACTATCACCAGCAGGGAGCCAAAGACATGCATTGCAGACAAGGCATAAAGCGACTGTGGCAATTAGGGTGTTATAGCGTCCCAACGAATCGGCAACAAAACCAGGGATCCATCTTCCGAAGAAAGATCCTGCATTAAGGATTGCCAATAATTGATACGAAAACTGGCTGGACACACCGTGAGCCAACGCGTACGAGGAAATATAACTGATCGGAACGAAGAGACCCCATTCGACGAAGAAGATTCCAGCTGTTGTGAGAGCAAACTCGGGCTCCCGAAAGATGCGGAAATCGGGGAGTACATTCTCTTTGGAAGCCGGCTTCTTGGGCAACCGGGACTTAACCAGCAGGCAGGACATGATCACTAGAATCAAACAGATAAGACCGACCACACGAGTGGCCCAGGCAAATCCGATCATCGGGAACAGCTTTTCGAGAATGAGAGGGAACGTAACACCTCCAACAGAGCCGCCTGTTGCAGCAATGCCCGTCGCAACACCACGCTTCTCGTTAAAGTAATGACCAATCGCAGATATGGCCGGCGTAAAAATTAGCGAGGCCCCTAGGCCCCCGGTGACACCAATCACAAGCATGAAGTGCCAGTATTGGGTGCAAAGTCCCAGAGTAGCCATCTGCACAACGACTAGTACTGATCCTGCAAAGACAAGGAACCGCGGGCCTTTGGCGTCGAAGATCGGGCCAATCTGGACACCGCAGAAAAAGGTGAGGAAGGCGTACATTCCAAAGATCCAGCCAGTGCTACCTGAGCTATAATCTTTAAGCTGGTGGTGTTCGAGATAAGCCTGAAAAGTTCCGATAGTATTGACTAGGCCCAGCGCGGCGAAAAGGCCCGCCCAGCTACCAAACACTACTAGCCAGGCCTCTAACCCGCCTTCGGGGTAAGTATTCCCATCAGCGTCAGTGGTTACACGGCTCATGGGGGCACTGTGTGTCGAGCGGTCGGTCTGGGATTCGAGGGACGGCCTGCCATGACCATGCTCGAAGGTCGTTTGCCCTTCCGGTGAAAGATCATGGCCAGGTTGTGCCGATGGCGGAATCCGAGGCCCGGCATCATCACGGGAGCTTAGAGGCACAGTCGAGGCATCGGTCGATGGTTTTTCAGACAATCCGAGAGGTGCCTCATCATAGAGAAGAGCTTGGGTAGTAAAACCTCTGGAGCTGTCTTGTTCTATCGTGCCTGTATGAGGATTGCCATGGTGTCTGACGTCGGTGGACATGTTAGTAGTGATATAGGGCGGAAGTGGACCACAGTTGACCTTGATTTCGCTTTTTTTTCCTCTTCCTCTCGCTACTGTCCGAATACAAGTCAAAAAGGATAAGAACACAACGCTGGTAGAAAAACGTTGATTAACAAAGCAAACAATTACAAATCAAAGAGGAGTATGGAGGTAAATACGAGCGACTCTCCGGTAAATGTAGGGAAGCCCGAAGAAAAAGAAACTGGCCACCGCTCACTCTTGTAATTGACCCCAACGGCAACCTGAGCTCTTGGCCGGTGGAGTCTGAGTCAGTTTTCTCCGAGCTGTTCTCCAAGAGGAATAGTCCTCATTGGTGTGTTCTGCGTTCTTCCTCTTTAAAAGATTTTAAAGCCTTTTCCCCGCAGCTGGCAAACAGCACTAGCCGAGATCAGGAAGGTTTGTGGTGTGGATATGCGGACTATGGCAGCCCTACGAACCCTACAAAGAACAAACCGACCTGGTAAACCAACAAACAGATAGAAGGGCGTCGACGCGATATCAGGAAAATATGAAAGGGGCAGAAGGTTTAACAAATCAAGAATGTTGAACGGACGAAACTAGTAAAAAGTTGAATACGTCGAGACTTTAGTGATTGATCGGTCGAACTTCACAGAGGACGGCAGCATTCAATTCCACAACCACTAGAGGTTGAACCAAGCCCATACAGGGCATGCTCCCTCATTTTGTGGGGTGGCCTCGTTGGAGGCTAGACATGTCGATTCCATCCGCGCCCAAAAAATATCGATGGATCTCCTGGGCATCAACGCGCGTGCGGTGTAGTTTTGATGGGAGTCTCTTGACCCGAGCCATAGGAATAGCGTGGCATTATACTCTCATCAGCAGCTGTGATCTGTATCACTTGGGGGTGGTTGCTGCGTAGAGGGTGGTGGCATATCTCCACCTGAGTAGTATCGAAGGCTATCCCTCAACACGTGATGGCATATGAGGAAGGAGACTCCGACGGGTATCCGTCATCATCTTTCAATCGTTTCGAGGTACAACATTTTGGAAGTGAATGTTGGGGTTATTATTGACTGTCCGAATAGATGCCTTCTTCAAGGGGAAGGTATGTCGGCGTAGACATTCACAGCGGTAACTGGAGATAAGCATAACTGGATACAAATGGTTAAAGAAGAGATGATGGTAGATTGTGTTAGCCTTGCAACAAAGTACCCAAACTGTTGAATCTCTGCTTTGTTCACGAGGTTATCAGGTGATTATGCCGACTTGGGAAGGTGTAACCATTTCTTGTTTGTCTTTTTTGATTGTGATCCGTGCAGCATTTATACCCTAACTATCAATATTGTTGAGACTTATCAGAATACATACACAGCTATCTAGATGGATACAATGCAATACCATATAATAGTACGAATGAACGATTCAGACAGGTAGATGGTTATTTAGAGAGTCATCGCACCGACGAACAGGGGAGGACGTCGTGGTGTATGTACAGCCACACATACTCGTACGCCCTTCGGACAGTCTTTCTAATCAGATTTCCATATAACAATACCCTTTCTCTTTCCTTTATTGAGATGCCCTTTAGGTTAAATTCTTGGGACTGATTGACTGATAAGGTTTCAATGGTGCTACATTCGGCTGGTCAGGAAATAAGTTGATTGACGGATCGAATGAAAGAGCGACGATAAGATTTGGACCCACGACACCCTCGTTGCATTCTTTGCGCCGTGATCGATACACATGAGAAGCCTGTCTGGGTCAATCCACAACATCTATTGGTTTGCTTGAACACGAATCTGAACCAAACTCCGAGAGAAACCGAGGAGTGATCTCATCATATATCATCACGAGACCTTGCCCAGTGACCTTTGCCATGGATGCAAACAGAGCAAAGCAATTCGATAGGATCTAGATTTGAATCCCAAACTACACCACGAATTAAAAGCCGCCGTGTCGATGCCAGGAGCATCCCTGTCCCTTGGTGCTCAATCAAAATGTGGCAGATGCCAGTTCCATAAACTGTCCAAGTAACATGGTAATTGGACGTGTTCAGTCACTCAAGGGTCGGCGCTTTTTCCTGGCCGTTGTCACATAGACTTCGCATCTCCAGATACACTGACAGCCACCCTTATTATTGGGTTTCTTTCACGCAATCCCTGTCCAGTAATCTTATCAGTCCGCTGTCAAAAACGTCAGGGGTTTTCTAGTCCTTTTCCTAAAAGACATCTTCGGCCTCCACAACGCCCCCAAAATGGTACCCTACAGGTCTTAGCATGCATTTTATTATCCCTGCTGGACGTCCTTATAAGTCCTCCAGTCTTCCCCGACAAATCTGAAAATGACTTCGTTTGTCTCTCAAGTTCCGTAGCCAGATTGTCCTAGTTCGACTCAGAATGCGCTTCCAAGGCTTTTTGCCGACGGCTACATTGGTCATCTCATTATGCACCGGCAAGACGTGTGCTTTTAAACATGGACGCTCTGATCAGCCGGTGCACGAACCCTCGGTCCTAGACAAGAAGGTATCGATGTCCTCGGAGGAGCCTCAACTCCGCTCACACGATCAATTTCGATTCCTTAATGACGAGACGAGGCGTATGTATTCACACTTCCTGGTGGATGAATGCTGATGTAGGCATATGGATTAATAGCCTACCTTGTGGAGAGCTTGCCTGATGTGCCATTCGACGTCGGTGAACTGTACTCGGGATCAGTGCCAATCGACAAGAATAACAGCTCGAGGACTCTTTTCTTTGTGTTCCAGCCGACAGTTGGGGAGCCTGTAGACGAAATTACAATAGAGGTAAATGGAGGCCCAGGTGCTAGCTCTCTCGAAGGTTTCCTCCAAGAGACCGGCAGATTTGTTTGGCAACCAGGAACCTACTCACCAGTAATTAATCCGTATTCCTGGGTAAATTTAACCAACATGTTGTGGTACGTTTCGATTGTCTCCTTTGTGATTCCTTCTTTGATCTACGTCGCTCTACGCTAAACTAATATGTTCACCATAGGGTTGATCAGCCTGTTGGAACGGGGTTCTCTACAGGTGCACCCACTGCTACCACTGAGGAGGAGACCTCCAGGGACTTTGTAAATTTCTTCAAGAACTTTCAAGACATCTTCGGGATCAAGAAGTTCAAGATTTATGTGACCGGCCAGAGCTATGCTGGACGCTATGTGCCTTACATTGCTGCGACAATGCTGGACCAAAATGATAAGGATTATTTTGATGTCCACGGTAGGCTATTTCTCTTGCAATCGGGGAATTCGGCTCCGCAGATATTTGATATGCTGATACCTGACAATGTAGGTGCATTGGCTTACGACCCGGTTATTGGCCAGTTTGACTATGTGGGACAACAAGTGTCTGCTGTGCCAACTGTGCAGCAGAACGCCAACATCTTCAACTTCAATACAAGCTTTATGAACGAGTTAGAGAGCCTTCACAAATCGTGTGGCTACCAGGAATTCCTGGACGGATATCTTACATTCCCCCCACCGGGAGTTCAGCCTCCGAAGTCTTTTGATCCTACCAACGACGCTGGCTGTGATATCTATAAAATGATCACCGATGCAGCTTATCTAGTCAACCCTTGCTACAACGTGTACGCCATCAACCAGATGTGTCCCATTCTGTGGGATGTTCTCGGAGGACCTACGAAACTTCACTATCTACCCGCCGGAGCCACGGTGTATTTTGATCGCGACGATGTCAAGAAAGCTATGCACGCACCCCATATGACTTGGTCCATGTCCTCGCCCCAGCCTGTCTTCGTCGGTGGCGACGCCGGAGTCGGCAGACTGGGTGATTTGTCCGCCAACCCAATCGAACGTGTTCTACCCCAGGTGATCGAAGCCACGAACCGAGTTCTCATCAGTCACGGAGATTACGATTTTATTCTCCAGACCAATGGAACCCTTTTGGCAATCCAGAACATGACTTGGAATGGGCAACTCGGGTTCCAGTCTCAACCGAGCACCCCAATTGAGATTGACCTGCCGGACCTCCAGTATGCGGAGGTGTTTGAGGAGAATGGCCTTTTCTCATGGCATAGCGGCCAGGGAGTAATGGGCATTCAACACTATGAAAGAGGACTGATGTGGGCGGAGACCTTCCAGAGCGGCCATATGCAACCCCAGTACCAGCCAAGGGTTGCCTACCGACATATCCAGTGGCTACTGGGGCGGATCGAAGAATTATAAAGTAAGGGACACACATGGAGAATAGGGTAAGTTGGGACCATGGAGTTGGTAGATGATGATATGCTACATATCGCTCTGTTCTGTTCTGATACTCCGTTACCTGTTATGTCATATCTCGAGATAAGAAGACAAGGGCTTTGACCGACGGGAATACATTTCCTAATCCAGCATATTCTTAGAAGCATCCGCTGATTGGTATACACTGTCCCTGATATCATTTTTTAACCCGTCAAGGTAAAACCTTCACGGCAGCCTCCGGATCCTTGGGACTTTATTTGACTTCAGATATACTTCCCATCCAAGCCATCCCATCACCATTTCCGCCAACCAATCTGAGATCTCCATTGTAACGACCAGGGGTAGGAGAGTGCAGCCACGACATGATAGGGAAAAGTTGTCTACCCCGACAGTATCTTGAACATAGGAAGAGAAGCCTTGTAAGCATCATGGATGTACTCCTCATAGATCCATACATGTAACGTACAGATATACATACATGTATAAACATGTACGGGTTTCCGTGGTGGAGACACAATACATGTACTGTACTTGTTTCTGCCTTGCCCTATACAGCGGGAACGAAGTCCCAGCCTTGCATGATGCTCAACTGCTCGATAATTGTATCCAGTTCTTCGATCCAGTGTATTACTGGACAGTGCCACGATCGGAACACATATGTTCACAGGGCACGTAGATCGGATACATGTATGTCCACCATGTATGTACCAACACAATCACGATATCTCGTGACCAGAGGTTTCCCCGGGTCCATCAGCGGTCCCCATTCCGAGGAAAACTGGAGACCATGGCCTTCTCCAGAGTACAGAACTAGGGAGTAACCGAAGTCATACCCACCGATAAAGTCCTCTTTTGACAGTCTCCATGTACGAGTCTCAAGTTGGCATAGTTAGACTTTGGAGTGGAGTTATACCCGACATATGCACTCCAGTCGCAGTTGACTGCCTCCCTCTGTCCGGTCGCACTTTGTAGGGGACGATGCCCACATTGGCCCCCATCGCAATTTGTAGTACCAATGAATCTCCCCAATTTCATGGCATTATTCGTGAGTGATGGCCCTGATATTTCCCATCAGACCACGTTACCTCTCGTTGAATGTCAATCGTACCATCGAGGATTACCTCGTACCGTAGAATAGAGTACTGTGTACATAGGAACCAACACTGCTTCTCCTCATCTTCTCCTCACCTTATTTTTGTTTCCCCTCCCTTCTTCTTCGTCGTTTCTAGATCTCTCCCCGCATTCTTTGCGGATCTTGCGACGCCACGTGCGTAGTTGACCTTTTGTCGTCATGCCGTGAAGGTAGTATGGCATCTGGAGAAGGTGACAATTCTTTTGGGGGGTCCAATGTTTGGTTGTTCGGATTGGGAAACGGTGGTTGCTCTTGACCATTGCCGAGGACGTGGGGCAGACCAATTTCCAACGAGAATGTTACGGTACTCCCTGATGAATCTAACCTCGTATATGAGCAAGGAAAGTTATGTAATGGCATAATTGTCCTGCCTAAAAAAAAAAAAAAAATATTACGAAAAAAAGAGGATGCTTTGTGGTTCACCGTTTCTATATTATCAAATCTTTTTTCTTCCTTTCCCAATACTTCCATGCTGCATGAAAAACTGAACCCTGTAAATTACGAGCCATTGATTGGGTTGATGAGTGAGTGTGGAACCGCGGGCAAGAATCCAACTCCGGGATGACGGATGCGGCAATGACCGTCGCCTTTGATGATCAATACTTGGGTGGGAGGAGAATTGAGCTGAGCTTGCTTCTCATAAGACAAACAACCTCGTGTTTTTGAGATGCATTGCGTTTGCGTGGATTGTCTATGTTGACGCAATCTGCGCTTTCGCCCCCATTACTTTTTATAGAGGGTTCTCGTGCAGTGAAAGGGTTAGGGTTCAAGATCTATCCGCCAAGGAGGGCTGTCTGGACTAACCACTGTCGGGTTGGCCTTGCCGAGAGAATCGAGAAAAGCTTTACCTTTCGTATGGCTTGGTATATACGGGAATTTGCATACGGATTCAGTATCCTTTTAACTTTTGATTATCTCTTTTACATTCAACTCTGTATTCTATACCCTTTTTTTTTTTCTTTCTTTTTCCCCCATTCTGTCTCGGTAGCAAGGTCATGTCTTCCCTAAGCGGGATTAGCGTGACCATATTGCGGAGCATATCCAGACCGATGACGTAGGGCGACAACTGAGGCCATCTCGGCACGTGGACTTGATATACTCGTGATAATTCATCCCTTCGAGAACCGATTGTTGTACTGTGTACCGTTTGCCCCTCATGTTTTTCTTCGGAACCCCACCCTCAATGTCCAATGGTACGATCTCACAGAATAGGCAGATGGATTCCTCGGGCTCCGAAGACTCGATACCCCATCCTGCGGTCTCTTCATGGAAGTCCAAAGAATTGCGGTGGACGACATGTCTTACAACCAATCCGAGCCAAGAGGCGGCCTGCATCGGGTTTCGGCCAATGGTCGTCTGAAAGCATGTCGTCTAACTTGTTCCCAACTAGTGTCCTTCAGCTTCCCTGGCAAGGAACTGCGATACTTTTTGTCTTCTGGGCCCTGGCCACTGAAAGGGCTGTGAAATTTGCTTAACTATGGTTCGACATCTGTGGGAGCCGCCCGAAACTCTTTTATCCGGCTTTGCTTCGACGGTTATATCAACAGTTGGTCATGGCGGGTTGTTTGGTTACCCGTCGCTGGAGTAAGGGAAGAAAGGGTATCGAAGGCAAACACAACGGGGCACGTGGTGGTGGCACATTCCTACCCTGACATGCATACAAAAAACGGATTAATAAAGAAATCTCTGCGGGAGACTTTTCTACACCTCTCAGCAATGATCTGTAGGTTGACGGTCCCTAAGAAATGAACTAACAAGTTTTAGCGTGCAGTGCACAAAGAAGTTATGATCGTATAGAGCATAGATCTGCTCCATGGTCAGACGCGAGATGGATCCAACAGGTCCTACTTTTATAGGTTAGTCAGCCTGGACCAGACTCGCCGTAAGTCTTCGCCGGTTGCAACTTTACCTTCACCCAGGGCCGTGGCGACTCTTGCTCCATCTGCGCCGCACTGGCCGATCCACCGGCGATTCTCCAATCACTGTCGACCGGGGTGGGCTTCTCTCAAACCTATCAACGGCCCGTGTTCTGTCTCCCGCTTTAGGTCCGTTGGGAGTGGTACCTTTTCCCTGATGTTAGTATGCAAGTGTGTGTACTATGTCTAGTATTATGTACGTAATATTCATTAATACGAGTCATGGTACAGTCCCGTAAAGTTTCAGATACCCAGGTGAGTGATTCAGTGGGTTGGAATTTACCACCGAGGGCTCTTTGCGGTGCTATATGTAAACCAGTAGAGAATTGACCTATGTGTCGATGTTTTTCATCCCATGGGGCATCAGCGAAAGGGTATGGTAGTGGATGGCACTGGGCATCATTGGCCTGCAATACCATTCAGGTGATTTTTCCGTGGTTGCCACAGTACGAGCTGGGCGGCTTCAGCCGAATGAATGTATTTTACAAATACCGCCCGATACGATTGTCGGTTTTACAAAA